ATTTAGGGATATCGTTAGCCTATGACAATGTTACGTTTTTCTATGAGTTTACTTATATTCCGTTGCAATTAAGTTAATACTCGACGCCAAGTGAAGAGTTAATATTTAATTTGCTGAACCAAGAAAGAGTATAAAGAGTTCGATATGACGCCACGCAAATTATCGATAACGCTACGCTCGTTGGGTTAAGCTTACCTGTATCTTAGAAGGAATACGTAAAGAGTATCAGGAATATTCGTCTAGACATGTGGTTATCGTGACGACTCGTATACGTAACGACTAATGCAATTACGACTAGTATAATCGTTAATCACACAAGCCCATCATGAAGCGATGCTGAGAAAAACCCTCAGGAATAGCCCATTGCGTTTATAGTAATATGTAAATGTATTATCACTTTTCTTATTTACCTAATATGTCAGGCATAATTAAAAATACCCTTGTCATTATATTTGCATTTTAACGTAGGTAGTGAAATATTGCATGCTATTATACTATTCCTTATACGCTAGTGTCAAACATCTTACCTTTATTGAACTATGTAAGTCACGGTGCTAAGTATATATTTTGCTGATATTAACATTAACAGTCTATCATATATTGCCTACTCCCGACCACTGCTACTCATTTTCAGCCTTATAAATTGTGTCTTTACCAATTGTAGTAGCAATTTCTATGACAGAGCGATATCACACAGAACTCTGTGTGATTGCAACAGTGATCCATGATCAGCATCATATCGATGCAAGCTTTAAAAGATGTCTATGCGGGTCAAATAGATCGGGCTGCAATAGTAGATAAGTGATTTATAATGTATGTGGGCTAAACATTTGCCAATAGTGCTATGGGCTTAAAAGAAGTTCTCGGTCCTGTTATCGTATGATTAAGCATTAGCCATCTATTCACATTGAGTGAAATACCATTGTGGAGATAATTGTATGATTAAAGCATTAGTCACACGATAACAAAGTTAATTACAGTCGATGTCAATTGTAAGGCTGAAAAATTAATCGTACGATTGAATCTTATGATTAAGCATTAGCCATTATTATTTAGAATTCGAAAAGCTATTCGCATTGAGTAAAATGCCATTGTAGAAAAAATCGTACGATTAAAGCATTAATCACACGACACGAAAACCGATAGTATGATCAAGCATTAGCCATTGTCATTGAAAGGCTATTCGTATTGAATAAATGCCATTGTGGAGAAATCATATAATTGCTATGGCTCAAATAAAGTCATACGATTGATGCATTGTTGTATGGTTCAAGAAAATCGTATGATTCATCCTCATTCAAAATTTGAAATAACATTGTGAAGTCGAAAATCCCATTAGTCACGTCATTCAGCATTTGAAATCGTATGATCGTGCCACCGCATAAATTGAAAATCAAAGCACGATTTATTTCATATAATATAGGAGGTTTAGACTCATCTCATTACACTCAGGCCATCCTAAAAAGTGATCAAACAGTCTCATAAACACTAATACACGCTACCAATACCATCATAATATAAGCATAATGAATAAACTCTCACTGTTACTGTTACAAATGCTTTCTTGCACGTAAACCTTCTTTCAAAGAAATCAAGGACTTCCTAGACTTCCTACGTCGTTCTGACGTGCAACTAAATCTCCAAGTTGACAGTTCTACTGTCCCATACTATCAAACCGCAAAACGTTGCTGTCGACAGAAATGCTTCTCTTTTTCTTCCAGAGGAATACAAAAATCGCGTCTGTGGTATTGCAACGGGCAATGGATTATGTTTTTTAACTCAGCCTTATTATTCCTAGTAGGGGACGAATCTTTAAGCTTGATCTTACGTGTCACAAGTATCCATGAATTGTTATCACATCCTGAGGCTTACCTTAATATTCCTGTCTTCAAAACTGATTGGCCATGGTCAGATGATGCTCTTAATACTGCAGATAAAGTGACACTGATAATAGGGAATATCATAAAGCAAGTATCTACAAGAATGAAATAGCAAACTTTGTCATCCATGTGCATATACTTGCTCTATTTAGCCTTGCAAGTGTAATATCTCATCCCATCAATTCAATTTACCTGCTATCAGACGTGACCATGGCCATGCTCCATTCAACAGGCTAATCCTTCCATGCCAGACATGTTTCCAGCAACCTATCAACATAATGTGGACCAAAACTGGAATTAAAACGACGGCTAAATTCGAAGCTTGGTGAAGTAATCCCACTCCAAGCACCGGCCATTTGGTATGAACCATCCTTGGATACTTTGAATATTATACCAGTCTATCCTCTAAAATATAATTCATCAATAGTGGTTCAGATGTCAATGATAAATAACAAACAAAACAGAAACCATTATGTTGCGGCTTTAATGGCAGGAATAGATCTTGAAACTCACTTAGATATCAAGGGAAACAATAAAATACAAATCAGTAAATGATACAGTAATTATGCTAGATCAAGATGAAGTGAGAAATCTTTCTCAACAGACTTTCATTGGCAAGACCAATACAGCTCACATTATTGGCTCCACCAAGTCTTTCAAAGCACAGATCTGTTCTCGCAAATGGCCATCACAGTGACTAAGACATATGAATCTGCCAAAAGTCTGAGAAAATACTTCTATTGCAGTGGATGTGTTGACAAGCGAAATTCAATGTCTGGGGTATTCTTAATTGAAAAGCAAGACATTGAAAAGAAAGCTGAGGCTATTAACTGTAAGTATGGGCAAATAGTCAATGGAAAAGGCAACAAGAATATTCAGCCGACTAATGGTTTAAGATTGACTGTAAAATGTAGGCGATACCGGATATATTAATATCCAAAAGTTTGGACAACTAAAATTAGATTGTCCAGATATATCCAAAAGTTTGGACAGACACAAATTACCTCATTTATCCGTAAACTTGGACAGTTTAGTGAAACAATAATTAGTTATAAATACGAGTCGTAGATAGTAGCTAAAAATCATCGTTCCGATCATTCGAATCATATCTTCAGCAAGACGTTGCTAATAGAATAGTTCTTATTCTAATAAAAATCCGTTTCAAATACACTTATTTCGTTTATTCCCTGATAAAAGATACTTAACGTCGTTCGGCAAAGTGTTGAAACGCTTTGCCCGTCAGCGGCAAATTGAATTTAATCTTGCCGATAAATTTTATTTAGTACTTTTGCAATTAGGTTATTGTTTAATTAATCGCTAGCACCTTTAAATAAGTATAATTCCCCGTTCCGATAGGCCGTAGATCTAATCCCACTGCGGAAATCGCTGAGATACTCGAATTTAAGCAATAACCTAGAAAAGCGCATACAAAAGCGATAATATACATCGTGAGTATTAAAAGCCTGTGTTAAAAGGTCACTAATTGTATTATATTTCGTTTAAAGTAGGAAGAGCAAAAGCTTCCGTTGGAAACAAACTAAATCCCAAAACGGCTAGTACACGCTGCTCTCCTAGGTGTAAGCTAGTCCGACAACTTTCAAAAGGCAGTTGAATGTATAAAAAGCAGTTGTACAAGGAAATGCTAATGCACAAATTATCTTGGTTAATGCTATCAAAATGGTATTGGGGGGTAGAAAAAGATGAACGACAGACAATTGAACTGTATAAAAAGCAGCTGAACAAGGAAATGCTATGGCACAAAATAATCTTGCCTGGTGTTATGAAAATGGATTGGCAGCTGAATTGTATAAAAAAGCAGCTGAACAAGGAAATGATTATACAACAATCTTGGTTGCTGCTATGGAATTGAAGTAGATAAAGATGAGCAACACAGAATATTCTGAAGACTGCTAGAATAAGGTAAATGGTAGGGAAAGATAATTAAGTGTTGTTTGAAACAGTCGTCTGCAAAAAAGTGTTATAGTACACTTTATTCTGTGTAATAACTGGTGTCAATGTCAAAGTGTCACTTTGTACTGTTCACAATTTAATTGGATTTGAAGAGCATACATAACTTATCTGAGGTTGATTATTCCTTTATTATAGTAATTGCGTCAATTAAGTTTCGCAATTTCAACGCGTGAATAGAATTATAAGTTACAATCACATTAGCAAAAAAGATAACACCGGGCAGTTATAATCATGTGATGGTAAACTGTTTTTGCGGGATCCATAATGCAACAATAATGCATTGTATTTCGTCTCGACTTTGCTTTTGTTTGTTTGATTCAGACGTTCTTGTTACAGTTTAAATTATATTACTCAATTATCTTATAGCCGCATTATACTAGAAATAATATTAGCAGCAATTATTATTTGTTGTTCAAGTTTGATAATTAATTCAACTAATAGCTATAAGTGATTATATTTCTGTATTCTCTTCATAATGTTGCGACACGATTTTCTTCGTTATCAAACTCGGTCTGTTTCAAGTATAATTTACATCCGATGATTGTTTGATTTGGCATTGTAGTCAATCAAACTGTTCGCAACAACAATTTCTCAAATGTTTATATGTTGGCTATGGTTGGCTGTAAATTTTGTCAACGTATGTAATCTAATCCTACGAATAATTTTATTAATTTTTACCATTACGATTATTGTATTTTGTTGCTTGTATTTTGACATCTATAATTTTTAGCATTATGGTTAGATGAAGAGGAAGAGGAGTAAATGGACGAGAGATTGTCCAATAAAAATGTCATCAATATCATTAAAGTCAAGGTTTAACTTTTACTCGTTGTAATGACCATGTCGATAGTGTTTTCTTTTAAGTGTAAATAGCCGATTTTGTTATTTATTACGGAATTGTTTGATTGGTCAAAAATTTACTCCCATGTATTTTGGATCGGGTGAAACTTATGTATTCTGCGGCGTTTTTTGTATAACTTAGATTTCGAACATCAACTCGATCACTTGATCGTAAATAGCAATAATTCGCGAGTAGACGTCTGGGAGGGAAATTGAGTATTAGAGTGATGAATTCGAATGATGATATAAAATTCATTATATAAACGACCTTTCTCCCAGGCGGAAAAAAGTTAAGTTGGCTGCTGAGGGTAAAACCAAAGTGGAACCTTTCCTGCCTGGGGTGGCTTCATCTCTTGTAATAATAAAATATTAATATCTGTTATTGATTATTGGAAATGTTGTATATTTGTTCTCTACCAATACTTTGATGTAAGAATTCCCTAGCAACTAATAAAACATGTCACGGAAATAATTATTTCGTTATAAAATCATGGCGACTAATAAGCAGGGCATGAGAAGTAGTCGGCTATTATATTATTCTCTGAATTGACACTTTGCATATAAGTTTTTCGCGATTAATAAGACAAGTAACAGAGTATCTGTCTACCGATGCTTTGTGGTAATATCTTGGCGACTAATAAGGGAAGCGTGAGAAGTGTTCAGTTTAGAAAAATTGCGATTATAAGACCTTATGTTTAATACAGAAAAAGGCGTTCGTAATAATAAAGACAATGTATAACACCGAGAGTTTAATATACTCGTTAGAAGGTTGATACTCGTAATATACAACAAAAGTTATTGTGAATCCATCGTTATTGTCCATTTATCGTTATTGTAAACACCGTTATTGTGAATTTATCGTTATTTTGTTTAAGTTAAAAGATTATTTCGTCAATGAGGGGGAACCTATGCCAAAATGTTAGTAGAGTATTGGAGCCATAGAGTGTGATAGAGACACGAAGCGAAATGCGGATACTCTTGATGAAAATCTAATTGGAGCATTACAATTGAAAGAGAAATATTTGAAATTAACCTTCATTAACGAAATAATCTACGATATAATGTATAACAATTAGATATTTTATACATGAGCGGCATTTCTTCATCCGCTACGTTTTACCAGGAACATCTGTTGAACCTGACCTTCGGTGATACGTCTTCGTCTGTATGATAAAACAGCGATGTTATTAATTCTCTAAATAGATATTAACGAAATTAATAGGCCATTAAGAGTAACGGGTAAATCTGAAGTGTTGTATTCTCATTTAATTGTTATATTTTTTATAATTATTACGGATAGTATAGAAAGGCCGATAGAGAATATATCTGTTGCCTAAGATATATTCGAAACACGACCCCAATGTTAGTCTGCGAACAAGAGTACTACGAAACATGAATCATGAAAGATAATAGTCAACGCAAAATCATTCGTCTAGCAACAGTAAAATCATTCGACTAGCAGGAAAGAATTAGTTACGATAATGTCTGATCTTAGAGATAGAATTTTAAAGATATACTTAAGTAGTATAATGAAGTTGGCTAAGTCGGTGGCCTCATCACTAAGCATCGACACTACATACAGGGCTCTATTATCATGGTTAGGGATTGCAGCCGCCTCGCGAAGAAAACCGCTGACATTAAGGAAACAAATGTATCAGTTATTTGTTAAACTAGCTTTGGATTAATTTGTGGATTGGTTCGTCATTATTTTAACTTGTCGGAACAGAATCGCCTTCGACGGAAATTGACAGAATTAAAATCTAATAAGGTCCAGCATTATCAAATTTAGAGACTGCTTTTGAGTCTTTTTTTTGTATTATAGACAGAACTATGTACAACATGTGAAAAACGGATGGCAACCATTTTTTCTTAGTTTTTCTTTTTTCCAGATAGCTCTTTTATAGTATTCGTTGTAATATTTCAATGATTCATTTATTCATATAGAATTAATCAATCAAGTCTTTCATGTATCAATTATAGCTAATAGAATGAATTTATGTTGATTTCAGTACTTTTGTTTGATATGGTTGTGGATGTTTGGGTTCGATGTTCAGAACATCAACGATATTGAACGAGTGAATTACCCGACGTGTTACACACATCCGAAGTTATCTTAAGAGTTGTGTTACTGCTATATACCAGCACAAATACCATACAAAACAAATCAACATCACTTTATTCGATAAATAATTTACAATATTTCGTGTATAGTTATTTATTGACACAAGTTCCGAAAATTAATCACGCCCTTTCAATATATTTATATCCGACAATAAGCACTGCATGCAGTAATAATAAACAAAGTTTACTATCATCGTAGCTGCTTACTAAAAACATCACGATCACTATGCAGTTTCAAAAATAAGCCCCCCTTTAATAGTTTACATCAATAATCCAGAAATCAACTTGCTTGTTGTTAGAATTAGTACACTTATTAAAGTATGCGTCATTGTCTCGTGCACCAATAACTTTCAGTACTTCACTTCTTTTTCCAATTGGTCTAAAGTAATTGATATACCACATTTATCAAAGCGTAATTCGCCGCCCGATGATTATAAG